TTGCTATTGAATCTTCATACGGTGACTAGCTAGATAACACGTCCGTGAAGCTTCTTGATCTCCCCGAATTGTTTCCACTCCTCTTGATGTTGGAAATTTGATACATTGATGATATGTAGAGGGGACTGCTTTCATTTGATAAATCCATGGAGTCCCGAGAATGATGTTGTAAGCCGCAGGTTTATCGAAGACAACGAAATCCACGATCTTTGACACCCGTTTAGCAAGGACTGGTAGTTTGATTGTTCCGAGGGACATGACTGATTCACTTGTGAATGCCACTAACGGAGATGGAGGCCCTATAATGTCTGCCCGACTAATTCCCATCCTTTCCAAAGTACTTAAAAAGATTAGATCGACCAAACTGCCCGTATCGATAAGAATCCTTGATACTTCAAAGTTAGCAACATCCATGGTAATGACTAATGCATCATCATGAGGTCTTTCGAGGTGCCGCGTTTCTTCTTCGTCAAATGATATCGATGCACCTTGAAAATCGACTTCTTCACTCAAACTTGCTTTGAGTAAAACATTTCGCCTATGTTTTTTGATGGAACTTATCGAATCTCGACAAAATTTGGAACCTCCTAGAATAACATTGATCTTACCCTTCGAACTCCTTGGTTCTTCCTCGTTGGCTAACCTTGGTCTTTTGGACTCTTGATCTTTGGAATTTTCTTTTGCTTCGTGGTATTCCTTCACAAAATCTTTTATATCGAATTTGGAAAGATCTCCACTAGCCCAAAGCTCCGCGAGGTGCCTTTTAAGGGCACTACAATCCTTGGTTAAATGTCCAGTTACTTTATGAATGTCGCAATATAAACTTTCATCACGGATCCAAGTGTTTGACCTTCCTTTCCCTTGGAATTGCTTTCCGACGGCACCGTTAAAGGGTTGCGACCCAAATTTCCTTGGTCCTTTGCTTTTCCTAGGCTCGAACTTCTTGGTAGGGACGGTAATTGCCGGCTTTTCTTGCTTATTTCTTTTGGCGAAATTTTCTTTTTCGTCCTCTACTTCCATCCAGTTGTTTGCGTGGAAGAGTGCATCCTGAATTGTGTCTGGTTTATGAAGTATTAAATCTTCTTTAAACCTTGAATCATGTCGCAGTCCTTTTCGTAAGGCAGTTAAGGCTGACTGTTGCGAGATTCTTGGGAGCTTTGATAGCACTCCTTTGAACTTGGTGATGAAAACTCGAAGTGACTCATTTGACCCTTGTGACAGGTTCCAAAGATCGGCATCCGAAACACTTTTGTCCATAAGGATGGAATATTGTTTTAAGAACACAGCTGATAATTCGTCGAAATTGCTGATCGAACCCGGCTCTAATTGGGTGAACCACATTAGAGCTTGGCCACATAGATTTTCCGAAAAGAGCTTGCAGTACCCTGCATCCTCATCAGCTTCATCCAATTCGACTCTTCCGGCAGCTATCAGGAAAGCTGCGAGATAGCTCTTCGGATCCTCTAATCCGCTGTAAGGGTCCAACTTGAGCTTCCGAGAATCTTTTATTCTTAAACTTGCGATTCGCGGAACGAAAGGTGTTCGCCTAGCTTCTTCAATGACCCGATTGATATCCGGCTGCAAACTTGTAGCTTGATGGAACTTTGACTTCATTTCTTTTAGTTCTTGGCTAACCTTCCTCATAGTCTCGAACTGGTCGAGGTTTTCCTGCTCGTATTGATTTGCAAGTTGAACTTCATCTTCAAGCTGTGTCTCTTCCTCCAATGGCTGAACTACATTATTAGTAGCACCAGGAGTTGTTTGTCTGCTGGTTTCATTTCGCGCAGCGGAAATTGGCGAGTTGAGTATCCTTCTTCGGATATCCACAGGGTTTCCTGCACTTAAAGAACGAACACGAGTTTGTATAGTACTGACGTTTTGACTAAGAGATACCTGGGATGTTTGTAATGTGTCGACGGCCTTTTCCACATCTGAGAACTTTTGTGATATGTCCGACATGGTTTGCTGCATAGCTTTGAGGGTCTCGGCCAATGATGACTCAACGGCGTCTCCTCCGGACATTGCTGCTTATCTCGGAAATGTAGTAAGGAAAAATCTGACCACTCAAGAATCCTCTATCCCCACAGACGGCACCAAAATGTGGATGTCGGATTCACACACTCAAGTATTTTTATTAAGTAGGAAAGATTACTCTTGAGGGACAAAAATAAATATGCAAAAAGCTTATGAATTGCTACAAAAATTGTTGTAGTGTTTCTTCCTCCAGAGAGATATATCCCCCATACATGGCCATTGACCTTTATATTTATACATAGAAAAACGACATTTAAGTGGCTAATTAAGTACAATTATTCTCTCTTAAATGTGTCCGTTTTGATCTTTGCTTTTAATGCTTAACGTTTGAATTTGAGTTGATTCTGATCTTCATGGGCCTCGCCTTTTGGCCCAAATGTCCTTGGACTGACTTAACCATGACTTCGTCTCCGGACTCGTGTCGAGGTGCAGTCACTTCGGATTCTCCTTATGGTGATAACCACTTCGACTGTTCTTTTGACTTGTGGGTATAATTGCTTTATCCTTTATGGGCCGTTACCCTGACTACGTGGCAATCTTTGGTTGGTCCTGGACCTTTGGTGCGGGATCCGACACCAACATGTATGATGTCTAAAATTAGGCAACATGTAGCGGCATGTCAAGTGTGTCAAAGGTACAAATACTCCACTCTAGCTCCAAGTGGATTACAGCAGCCTTTGCATGTGCCAGAGAAGATATGGGAAGATATTTCCATGGACTTTATGGAAGGGTTGCCAAGATCAGGGGGAAATAATGCAATCTTGGTGGTGGTGGATTGATTATCTAAGTATGCTCACTCTCTCCGGCTTAAACATCCATTCACAGGAACTGATGTGGCTCATTTGCTTATCCAAGAGGTTATCAAGCTACGTGGCTTTCCTAGAACTATCATTTTTGATAGGGATAAGGTTTTCACGAGTCTGTTTTGGAAAGAGCTGTTTCGCTTGGCAGGAACCAGCCTGTGCTTCAGTACTGCTTATCACCCGCAGACTGATGGGCAGACTGAAGTCACTAATAGGGGTTTGGAGACCTATTTGAGATGTTTGCGGGAGAGCAGCCAAGGACTTGGGCTCAGTATCTTCCTTGGGCAGAATTTTGCTACAACTCATCCTACCATTCTGCCATTCAGATGACTCCATTCCATGTTGTATATGGGAGAGAGCCACCAACTCTGATCAAGTATGACTGTATGAGAATGGCTCCACCTCCAATGCTGACTTGGAAAAACAATTATTGGCTAGAGATGCCACTTTGGCCTTACTCAACACACATTTGCATAAAACTCAACAGCAGATGAAGAAGAGAGCTGATGAGCATCGCATGGAAGTTGAATTTGAGGTAGGGGATCAAGTCTATCTGAAAATGAGGCCATTTCGTCGCAAGTCATTGGCTAGAAGATCAAATGAGAAGTTGGCAGCGCGCTTTTATGGTCCATACAGAGTGGAGGCCAAAGTTTGGGAAGTAGCCTATCAACTCAAACTTCCAGCTGAAGCACGAATTCATCCAACCTTTCATGTGTCCTAGCTGAAAAAGGTAGTAGGTCACCAACCTGTGATTGTCTCCATTCCGGTTCAGTTAATTGTAGAAAGGATATTGTAAGCAAAACCTGAAGCCGCATTGGACTAGAGGAAAAACCCACTGACAGGGCAACATGAAGTGTTGATCAAGTGGAAGGGTCTGCCTGACTATGAATGCTCCTAGTAGTGGGTGAACACTATCAAGGGTCAGTTTCCTCGCTTCAACCTTGAGGACAAGGTGGGTTTTAAAGGGGAGGGTATTGTTACATATGATGCTCAGAGCCCACCAATCATCTACCAATACCAAAGGAGCTATTAAGGCCCAAAAGACGAAAGAGTAGAGACACGTGGAGAGAAGAGGATTGACACCAATGAAGATCATGGCTTGATTGGGGTTACTTTACTAGATCAAGGAATAACCACACTACCATATCATTACCAACATCCAGGTTAGGCAAAGGAGCCGCTGTGATTTGCTCAATGATTATCACAAGTGCAAATCTCTGCTACGACGAATCCGCCAAGCATCTACCATAAACGCCTCATACACCCTCACATCTCTCCTTAGGCCCAGTTCTCGGGTGCCTCAGTCTGTAATAACATAAATCAATCGGCCAAGTGGTAACCAATTATCAGACTATAGGAGAGAGTGTTACGTCCATTTCTAACCTCCAATCTTATGAAATCCACAGCCTGAGGAGATAGTTTTAGGATCTTTCACCATATCCATGACCCCATTTTTGTTGACATCCCAAAATGAGCAATTGCAAAGTAGATGATTTCCAAGCCACCCACAAAGAATCCAATATAGTGAACAGCTTCCAAATGGGATTTAGTGCAAAAACTCGTGCGAATACCCAGCCCACCTTCTTTTTTTCGCTAAACCAACATCTGCTCATGCTACCTTAGCCTTAGTTGAAATGTTTGGTGATCTACTCCATAGAAATGATCCACACATTTTCTCTAATATCCTTAAAACAAAGATTAGATAATCAAAAAACCGAACACGAAAAATTACATATGCTGGAAATTACCGTATTGAGAAGTTGTAGCGTCCCAAAACTACATCAGAAGTTTCCATACAACCTAGAATTGAGTTATACCCAAATTTTTTAAATTGAATTTAGTATAATTGCCCAAATTTATGAAAATTTATAATTTTAATTCAATCAACATATTATTCTTTTGGTTAGAAAAATATACATATTAGAAATATAGTTGTATACATATTAAAAATATAATTGTAAATACTAAACTCAAACCTAAATTTTTAAATTATAAATTTCTAAAAATTATTTGTAATGTTTGTGGTATTTTTTGTACTAAAAAATTTAGAATGGTATTTTTGAGAAAAAAACTAAAGTAATAGTACATTTAGAACAAAATTTTAGTTTAGTGGTATTTTAGGGTTTTTGTGTTATTGATTAATTTTCTGATTGCTACCAAAAAAAAAAAAAAAAAAAAAAGCTTAAAAGATTTTCCTGTCTAATTTCCTTCCGCGGAATCGGAGAAGGAGACTAGATTCGATGTGTTGTTGAAGATCTCGACTTTGTTCGATTTCGACCTCCACATTCAAAGATCCTTCTCATCCTCTTTGTTATTTCGTTGATTGAATATGGTTGGTTCGATTGTTCCCGGAGACATGGCTTGTTTGGATGCAGATTTGTTGCAGCTTCAAGAAATGTCATCCTTTGTTCTGAATTCAAAACCTGGATTCACTCAAAAGCTCTTCGACCAGTGGCTTTCTCTTCCTGAATCCCATCGACAGGTATCCATCTGCTTTAATTGGCTTTACAATTGGTACACTGATGCTGCTTAAGTTATTGAGATTTGGTTGCTTAATTACTCTCTGCTGTTGAAGATTTGTGTAAAGTTCGAATCTTTGATAGTGTTAGTGAGTGTTACTGAGATTTGGTTGCTTAATTACTCTATTCACTGGAATCTCAAGTCTTAACCTTTTCTCATTTCCTAATCGGTTTTCTAGATTGGATCATTGCTTAAGGATGCTATAGCTGGAGCTCCTATAAATGTTACTGGAAGTGCATCGGGTTCAAATTCTGCCACTATACCATCTATGTTTCCTGCTGGAAGTGCTCCTCCGCTTTCGCCAAGGAGTTGTGGTTCACCGCGTACAACCAAACAGAGAGCCCCTTCTAACTTAGGTTCTACTCTCAAAGTTGTCAACGAGCCTGTTAAAGAGCCAATACCTCAGGTTTTGATATGTGCATTCTTTTTTCCTCCTTTATATAGTAATGGAGTAAGATCACTGATTTTAAACTTGAAATGATTCTAGTTTTATTTCCAAAATGGTCGCCCACCACCAAGTGAGATAAAAGAGCAATGTATGTTTAGAATCAATCACTTCTTTTATGGTCACATTGATGGATTGCAGATACAAGGTAAGAAGAAGTCATAAGTTTTCTACTATTTAAAGTGACATTTATTTGGAATTGTATATTAACTTTTTCCCCTTTTCAATACTCAGAATTCAAATTAGTCACCAGAGAAATCTGCAAGCTCCCATCTTTCTTCTCCACTTCACTTTTCCAGAAGATCGATGTCAATAATACAGGTTTTGTTACTAGGTGTGTGCTTCTTCTATGCTTTTTGTATGGTGGAATCTGATGGTGTGCATAGTTTGCAGCATACTTCAAGCTTCTCACTTTGTCATGTATATGGTGATAACTGTACCGAAACACCCAGTATAACAATTTTTCGTGTTTGTTTGTACAGAGAAGCATTTATTGATTATTGGGTAAACGGGAACATGTTGATAATGGATACAACGACCCAAATCTTCAAGATACTAAAGCAGAAAGATCAGAGTTTCATTGTGAAGGTAATTTTCTTTTGATTTGCATATTCAGTCATGAGAGCGAGTTAATACTCCAGATTCTTTTCTTTTTTTTTCCTGGCAGGATGATTTCAAACCACTACTTAAAGAACTGTTGGCGACGCATCCTGGGCTAGAGTTCCTGCAATCCACACCTGAATTTCAAGAAAGATATGGTTAGGTCTTAACTTCATATACATTTTAGTATTCTAATTTACCTCATGTTTTCTTTTTCCTCTGGGTATTGCTTGAGTAATGGTGTTTAGTAATTGAGTTTGGTTGTACATTTCATTCTTGGAAGTAGATGGTTAGCTACAGCTCTAGTTGAGAAGAATGAGTGAATAAGTTTGCCATTTTTGGTATGATGTACTTATCTAAATCTGTTGGATGTTTACCACATCAATCATATTTCTAGTGAAATAAGATAATGTTAATAATTGATGCATCGAGATAATAAATGTGGCATGACTCTGTATGGATTTGAAACATTTTATACGATACGGTTCCTTTGTTGTGTTGTGTTGTGTTAGACATCATCTTTTAACTTGCAAATCCATAAAGCTTTCAAGTATGGCATGAATCATCTTCCGTAGGATGATAATTTGTGTTCTCTCCAATAGGTCTATGAATCCTGCAGGGGTTATATAAGAGAAAATTTCTGACTTTTGTCTATCTTAATAGAAGAAATAGAAGAAATTCTGGAACTTGTTTATGAATCATGTGTCAGTTAGTAATGAAATTATGTGAACACTTTTATTGTTTGCTATATCTTGAGTCCATATTCTTTGGTATTTGCTGCTACCGGTATCAAAGGAATATTTAAGCATGCTGTTTTGTCTGATACAATTTGTATTTTGATGAACCAGCTGAAACTGTCACCTACCGAATATTTTACTACATAAATAGATCTGGCAATGGTCGAATTACATTTAGGGAGCTTAAACGGGGAAACTTAATTGATGCTATGCTACATGCTGATGAAGAAGAAGATATTAACAAAGTGTTGAGGTACTGACCAAAAAATTGCGTGCTATTGTTGTATGTTTGGTTTTGTTTCTGCTCATTTAACATCACTTTTCTATTCACTTTGGCAACTAGATACTTCTCATATGAGCATTTCTATGTCATATACTGCAAGTTCTGGGAGCTGGATACGGATCACGATTTCCTGATTGACAAAGAAAATCTTATGAGATATGGAAACCATGCTCTTACTTACCGGATTGTCGACAGAATATTCTCCCAGGTTCTGTCTAAAAAGTCTTGAACTTTTAGAATGATTTTTAATGCCGACTACTTGAAGATTTTATTTATATTGCTTCCATTTAAGAGTTGTGTCCTCGTTCAAAGTTATTATTGCTCGTAAGATGACTGTCATCATGGATAATGCATTGGTTTCTTATCAGGTTGCTAGGAAGTTCACTAGCAAAGTTGAAGGGAAGATGGGGTATGAGGACTTTGTTTATTTCATACTTGCGGAAGAAGATAAATCTTCAGAGCCTAGCCTAGAATATTGGTAAGCTGTGATATAAGGATCCGAAAGTTGCAGACAGATAGCATTTTGAGTGTTTTTTACTGACACGAGTATATATTGGATTAGGTTTAAGTGCATAGACTTGGATGCAAATGGGATTATTACGCGAAATGAGATGCAATTCTTTTATGAAGAGCAGTTGCATCGAATGGAATGCATGGCGCAAGAGGCTGTTCTTTTCGAGGATATCTTATGTCAGATGATTGATATGATCGGGCCAGAGGTTGGACAATGTGTCTAATGTTTTTCTATATTTAAACAAGATATAGGACAGTCACAGAAGTAGTTAGTGTTCCCAGTTTTTCTTTCTGACTCTTGCGATTTTGTGTTTCATTTGATTGTTTCTTGTTTCTTTCCACAGAACGAAAGCCATATAACGTTGCGTGACCTGAAAGGCTCAAAACTCTCTGGAAACGTCTTCAACATCCTTTTTAATCTGAACAAATTTATGGCATTTGAAACACGGGATCCGTTCCTCATTCGTCAGGTACTCCATGTTTGATATTCAACCTTGCTGTTTTCTAGACACCATGGGCATCACATAACATTTCAACATGTCAAACGAAAACAGGAGCGTGAGAACCCTACATTGACAGACTGGGACCGTTTTGCACATAGAGAGTATATTAGGCTTTCAATGGAAGAAGATGTTGAAGATGCATCCAATGGAAGTGCTGAGGTTTGGGATGACTCGTCACTGGAGGCTCCCTTCTGACTTCTGAGTTCAAAGAGGTAGTAAGTCAACAGGAAAAGAAAAAAAAAAGGAAACAGAAAAACTTAGAAGTTGAAGGTTATGCTAATGTTGTTATTCATCATATTAGTTATTCATGCAGAAGAGAAACATAAAGTCCCTGAGAAGAATCTTTGGCGAAAAACAAGCGAAAAGCCGGTAGTATCCTCTGTTGAATCCCATACTTAGCTTGAATTTGTTTTCTAACTTCTCGTCATTTCTTAGCTGATTATACAGTTATATTTATTAATAATCGTCGTCTAGCTCATCGCTTTACGTCTTCTTCGCCTGTATTACATTCACTTTGTTCTATCTCTGGGTTTTTGTATGTACTTTAGAGCTGTGTTACTTCATCATCTTCAGTTGTTCGAAATATTGTGAAAATCAATTCCATAATTACTTTATATTATTCTTTTTGGTTGGTTCTTGGTTTATAGGAATCCTAGAAAGTAGATTATATACCGTAATACGTTTTTTCTCAGGTTTACTTGTTTAATATCAAGTGGTCACCCCACTGAACTGAGATTTTTAGAAATCATGTTCTTGTTATGTTTTCAAAAGTTTTTGATTAAGATTTGTTTCTAAAATGAAAACTTAAGATGAAGTTTCCATACAACCTAGATTTGAGTTATACCCAAATTTATGAAACTAAATAGTATAGATGCCCCAAATTTTGGGGATGTGTTTTTAGTTAAGTTGTTAAGTCCATTCGACTCCGCTTTCTCCACCGGAGTTCGACTCCACTAAGTAGGGATTGACTATGGATCGGGTCTTGTTGATCCAAATATGTCAAAAAAAAAAAAAAAAATGTGCCCCAAATTTATTAAAATTTTATATTTTTAATTCAATCAACATATTATTCTTTTGGTTAAAAAAATATACACATTAAAAATATAATTGTAAATAATAAACCTAAACCCAAACTTATAAACCTTTAAAATCATTTTTAATATTTTTGGTATTTTTGCAATAAATTTTTGCAGTGGTATTTTTGAAAATAAAAACTAGCAATTGTACATTTTAATAGAAAACTTAGTTTAGTTTCAACTAAAAAAAAAACTTAGTTTAGTGGTATGGGTTTTGTCTTATTTTTTCATTTTATGTATTTCAGATCCATTAAAAAAAAAAAGAGTTAAAGCATTTTCCTTTCTCCGATTACGGAGAAGGAGACTAGATTATTCGATTTGTTGTTGAAGATCTCAACTTTGTTAAATTTCCAATTTCGCCTGTTCGATTGAATATGGTGGATACGATTGTTCCCGGAGACATGGCTTGTTTGGATGTAGATTTGTTGCAGCTTCAAGAAATGTCTTCCTTTGTTCTAAATTCAAAACCTGGATTCACTCAAAAACTCTTCGACCAGTGGCTTTCTCTTCCTGAATCCCATCGACAGGTATCAGACCGACCACTCTTCTGCTTTAATTGGCTTTAGAAGTTGGTTGCTTACTTACTTACTCTGGTGTTGAAGATTGGTGTAACTTTGATAGTGTTAGTTTGTATTACAATGATGCTTAGGTTACTGAGATTTGGTTCTCTGTGGTGTTGCAAATTGGTGTAAAGTTCGAATCTTTCGTTGAAAGTCTTAGTCAGTATTACAATGATGCTTAGGTTACTGAGAGTTGGTTGCTTAATTACTCTGTGGTGTTGAAGATTGGTGTAAAGTTCGGATCTTTGATAGTGTTAGTGTGTGTTACAATGATGCTTTGGTTACTGAGATTTGGTTGCTTTATTACTATGTGGTGTTGAAGATTGGTGTAAAGTTCGAATCTTTGATAGTGTTAGCGAGTGTAAATAGCGATTCACTGGAATTTGACGTCTAAAGCTTTGTTTTTTTCTTTTCTAGATTGGATCATTGCTTAAGGATGCTATGGCTGGAGCTCCTATAAATGTTACTGGAAGTGCATCGGGTTCTAATTCTGCCACTATACCATCTATGTTTCCTGCTGGAAGTGCCCCTCCGCTTTCACCAAGGAGTTGTGGTTCACCGCGTACAACCAAACAGAGAGCCCCTTCTAACTTAGGTTCTACTCTCAAAGTTGTCAACGAGCCTGTTAAAGAGCCAATACCTCAGGTTTTGAACTGTTTTTTTCTGCAAGCTTTTGATAATTGCATTCTTTTTTCCTCCTATATATAGTAATGGAGTTAAGATCACTGATTTTAAACTTGAAATGATTCTAGTTTTATTTCCAAAATGGTCGCCCACCACCAAGCGAGATAAAAGAGCAATGTATGTTTAGAATCAATCACTTCTTTTATGGTCACATGGATGGGTTGCAGATAAAAGGTAAGAATTCATAAGTTCTCTACTATTTAAAGTGACATTTATTTGGATTTGTTTATTAACTTTTCCCCCTTTTCAATACACAGAATTCAAATTAGTCACCAGAGAAATCTGCAAGCTCCCATCTTTCTTCTCCACTTCACTTTTCCAGAAGATCGATGTTAATAATACAGGTTTTGTTACTAGGTGTGTGCTTCTTCGATGCTTTTTGTATGGTGGAATCTGATGTGTGCATAGTTTCCAGCGTACTTCATGTTTCCTGCTCATTTTATAGTCACTCTCATTTTAGTATTTGATTATGCAGAGAAGCATTTATTGATTATTGGGTAAATGGGAACATGTTGATAATGGATACAACGACCCAAATCTTCAAGATATTAAAGCAGCAAAATCAGAATTTCATTGTTAAGGTAATTTTCTTTTGAGTTGCATTTTCAGTCACGATAGCTAGTTAATTTCCCAATCTCCTTGCTCTTATGTTTGCATTTTTAATTCGCAACATTCTTTCTTTCTTTTTCTGGCAGGATGATTTCAAACCACTACTTAAAGAACTGTTGGCGACACATCCTGGGCTAGAGTTCCTGCAAAGCACACCTGAATTCCAAGAAAGATATGGTTAGGTCTCAAGTTCTCGTGTTTTATCTCGTATTTTCTTTTCCCTCTTGATATTACTTGAGTATGTTTAGTAATTGAGCCGGAGTTTGGTTGTAGATTTTATTCTTCAAAGTATACAATAAGCTACCGTGCTAGTTATGATGTATTATGAGTAACTCTGTTCTGTATGGTATGGTTTTCTATCTACATCATTCGGATATGGTTACTAAATCAATCATATTACTAGATAACTAAGACAATTTTAACGATTGTTGCATCAAGATGATAACATGGCAATACTCTGATTGGATTTGAAATACTCTATAGATTTCTTGTTTTATTAGACATCTTCTTGTAACTTGCAATTCCATAGAACTTGCACGCGTAGCATGAAACATTCTCTGTTCAGAGGATGATAATGTGTTCTCTCATATAGGTCTACGACTCCAACTTTTGTCAATCTTATAAAAGTTTTTTCTGGAATTGCTTTATGAATAATTTGTTAGTAATGAAATTACATGAACACTTTTATTGTTTGCCATGTATGGAGTCATTCTCTGGTATTTTCTGCTACTATTGAAAATGGTGGGAATCAATTGCAGTTTTGTCTGATACAACTTTATTTTGATGGGCCAGCTGAAACTGTCACCTACAGAATATTTTACTACATAAATAGATCTGGGAATGGTCGACTTACATTTAGGGAGCTCAGACGGGGAAACTTAATTGATGCAATGCTACATGCTGACGAAGAAGAAGATATCAACAAAGTGTTGAGGTACTAACAAACGGAGTTCGTCTGATTGTTGTATATATAGTTTTGTTTCTCTTTATTTGAAATCAACACTTTTCTATTTACTTTGACAACTAGATACTTCTCATATGAGCATTTCTATGTCATATACTGCAAGTTCTGGGAGCTGGATACGGATCACGATTTCCTGATTGACAAAGAAAATCTAATGAGATATGGAAACCATGCTCTTACTTACCGGATTGTCGACAGAATATTCTCTCAGGTTCTGTCTAAAAAATTTTGATCTTTTAGAATGATTTTTAATGGATAATGCATTGGTTGCTACTCGAAGATTTTATTTATATTATGAGATATGGAAACCATGCTCTTACTACTTGTAGATTTTATTTATATTGCTTCCATTTTAAGAGTTCTGTCCTTGTTCAAAGTTATTATTGCTCTTAAGATGACTGTCATCATGGATAATGCATTGGTTTCTACTCAGGTTGCTAGGAAGTTCACTAGCAAAGTGGAAGGGAAGATGGGGTATGAGGACTTTGTCTATTTCATACTTGCGGAAGAAGATAAATCGTCAGAGCCTAGCCTAGAATATTGGTAAGCGGTGATATAAGGATCCAAAAGTTGCTGACAGATAGCATTTTGAGTTTTTTTGACTGACACCAGTATATATTGGACTAGGTTTAAGTGCATAGACTTGGATGCAAATGGGATTATTACGCGAAATGAGATGCAATTCTTTTATGAAGAGCAGTTGCATCGAATGGAGTGCATGGCGCAAGAGGCTGTTCTTTTCGAGGATATCTTATGTCAGATGATTGATATGATCGGACCAGAGGTTCAACAATATGTCTCTTATGTTTTGTGTTTATTATATGCTATTCTTTATTTAAATAAGATATAGAACGGTCACAAAAGTAGTTTTTGTTCACAGTTTTTCTTTCTGACTCTTGCGATTTTGTTGTGTTTGATTGTTTCTTGTTTCCTTCCACAGAACGAAAGCCATATAACGCTGCATGACCTGAAAGGCTCAAAGCTCTCTGGAAACGTCTTCAACATCCTTTTTAATCTAAACAAATTTATGGCATTTGAAACACGGGATCCGTTCCTCATTCGTCAGGTACTCCACGTTTGATATTCAACCTTGCTGTTTTCTTGACACCATTGGCCTCTTATAACATTTCAACATGTCAAACAAAAACAGGAGCGTGAGAACCCTACATTGACAGACTGGGACCGTTTTGCACATAGAGAGTATATTAGGCTTTCAATGGAAGAAGATGTTGAAGATGCATCCAATGGAAGTGCTGAGGTTTGGGATGAGTCGTCACTGGAGGCTCCCTTCTGAGTTCATTAAGGTAAGTCATCGGAAAATCGTAATGTCTAGAAGATAAAACCAGTGGAATGGATTAAAAACAAAAAGGAAATGGAAAAAAAACTTAAAAGTTAATGGTTGTGCAAATGTTGTTTTTGTTTTTGTTTTTGTTTTTGGACGTCAAGCTGTGCAAATGTTGTTATTTCATCATATTAGTTAATCATGCAGAAAAGAAATATAAAAGTTCCTGAGAAGATTCATTGGAGCTTTGTCGAGGAAGGAAAGTGAAAAACAAACAAAAAGCCGGTAGTGCCCTCTGTTGAACTTAGCTTCGATTTGTTTTCTAACTTATCTTCATTGGTTAGCTTTTTAATACAGTATATTTATTGATAATCTTCTTCACCTGTAGTGCATTCACTTTGCTCTGATGTTTCTATCTCTGGGTTTTTGTATGTACTTTGTAGCT